AGAGTTTTATTTATTATAAAATGTCAGAATATTTCTATCAAATTTCTGTCAAAAAAGGTAAACAAAAATTTAATCGCTGGTAAAACAAGGTCTTGTGAAATAATCATATATTATATCACAAGACCTTCAAATTTAATCGATTAAACTATGCAACATATTTTGAGCATGATTTTGCTTGGAAAATAGTTGAATGCACAATAACTTAATAAAAGCTCGAGACCGCGAAGCGGTCGAGGGCTTTTATTTCAAAGTTATTGTGCATGAAACTATTTGCCAAAAAGCAAAGTTGTGCGAAAAATATTTGGATAGTTTAATCCATTTAAATTTATAGGTCGAGTGGTATACGGCTAGATTATTTCCTGAATAATTATTAGGATTGAAGCCACAAACAAAAAGTTCTATTTTTTATTATAAAATGTCAGAATATTTCTATCCAAATTCTGTCAAAAAAGGTAAACAAAAATGTAATCGCTGATAAACAGGTCTTGTGAAATAATCACTTATTTAAACAAAATTTAGTCAAAAAATGACGTTGTCTGATTGGTCTATTCTATAATGAATGAAATAATCATTTATTTAAACAAAATTCATTCAAAAAATGACATTGTCTGATGGGTCTATTTTATAATGAATGAAATAATCATATATTATATCACAAGAGCTTTGAATTTAATCGATTAAACTATCCAACATATTGCTCATGATTTTGCTTGGAAAATAGTTGAATGCACAATAACTTAATAAAAGGCTTTTATTTAAAAGTTATTGTGCATCAAACTATTTGCCAAAAAGCAAAATTATGCAAAAAATATTTGGATAGTTTAATCCATTTAAATTTATAGGTCGAGGGGTATACGGCTAGATTATTTCTTGAATAATTAGGATTGAATTGTTGGTGTCAATCCTATCCAAAGAGTTTTATTTATTATAAAATGTCAGAATATTTCTATCAAATTTCTTTCAAAAAAGGTAAACAAAAATTTAATCGCTGGTAAAACAAGGTCTTGTGAAATAATCATTTATTTAAACAAAATTCATTCAAAAAATGACATTGTCTGATGGGTCTATTTTATAATGAATGAAATAATCATATTAAATTTTGGTGGTTTATATACAGGGTGTCCCACGGTGGATGGCGTATTAGACGTTTATGGAGAACTAAAAAGCGGATCATTTTGAAAATTTGGCAACCGGGATAAACGACCATAATCTACACTTTAAAAATATTTTTGTTTATGCGGTGTTGCCGCTTCTACCCTAAACCAGTGGCAACAGCGCTATTTTAAATGGAACATCCTGTATCTGATTACATATTTGGATTTTACGTAAAATTCTGAGAAGATTTCATGTGATATACCCTATACCTAAGTTCAACTGTTTTGGAATTATTGACAGTTGAAAATCGACTTTTTGCAACTTTGACAGGCTGTAAAACCTGAACGGTTAATTTTAGAGAAAAACCGATTTTACATTCCTATCTTAGATTTTTATAAACTATCATTTGATACCAACTTCAAATTTAATCCATGATTAAAAATTCCAATTAAATTTAATCTCCGGGTAAATTCAAAGTTGGTGTCAAATGATAGATCATGAAACTGTAAGATAGGAATGTGAAATTGGTTTTTCTCTTAAATTAACCGTTCAGGTTTTACAGCCTGTCAAAGTTGCAAAAAGTCAATTTTCAACTGTCAATAATTCCAAAACAGTTATAGGGTATATCACATGAAATCTGCTCAGAATTTTACGTAGAATCAAAATATGTAATCACATACAGGGTATTCCATTTAAAATAGCGTTGTTGCCACTGGTTTAGAGTAGAAGCGGCAACACCGCATAAACAAAAATATTTTTAAAGTGTAGATCATGGCTGTTTACCCCGGTTGCCAAATTTTCAAAATGATCCGCTTTTTGGTTCTCCATAAACGTCTAATACGCCATCCACCGTGGGACACCCTGTATGCCACATAAAATTAGTTTGGTTCTGTTATTTCTAAACATATATAGGAGAATGAGTTCTCTTATATTTCTTTTATTTTGAAATTTAGATTATTTTTGATAAATATACCCAAACCTCCTCCTCTTTTTTTTCTTGTTGCATAAATAATCCCAAAGTTTTTAAAGTTGTAGTATTGAATTTCTTGTTTCTTCACGCATGTTTCTGCTATAATTACTATATCAATTTTTTCTTCTTTAATCAAAATTTCTATTTCTTCCATTTTATTTTTCTGTGATCTTGCATTAATATATATTATTTTAATAGGGTTTCCCATAATTTAGGCATAAATAATTCTTTCTTTGGCTTCCTTGACTTTTTGTTTATGTAATGGACACATGTCACTGTTTGCTTTATGTTCAGCATTTGATACTGTATTGTTTTTCTTCTTATATGTTAGGCAGTTGATACTTTTTGGATTTTTTTGGTTATATTTCCAATGTTGATGGTTTTTTGAACAAATTTTACATGCCTTATCTTGTTCACAACTATAGGATTTATGTCCATACCCGCAACATTTGTAGCATTGCATGATATTTAGGTCTTCTTTAAAATAGCAATGGTTCCAGTTTAATAATATTGTTTTATTTACGACTAATGTATAATGTGCGTATTATATTTGTGATTTTGGCAGTATAATGACATATGTTATTCCTCCAGGGATTAATGACGAGTAGCGGGATTAATGGTCATTATTCCACAAAAGTGTCAGTGTCAAACGTGTAGTGCTTGTGGATTTGTATTGAAAATTATGAGACGGATGAAATTTGTTCATTGAAAATCTCAAATAAGTTAATTTGTCGTGAATAAAGTAGAGTATACTACTCGCCATAATGGCTATTATTCCCTCGGAATGTTACTCCCTCGCCGCTAACGCGGCTCAGTTCGTAATAATCCTCGGGAATAATAGCTATCATTATTGACTCGTGGTATAATCTACTATTATTGTTCAATTTAAAAAACGTTTTTCCATCAGTTTCAATGTTATAAATGAATTTGTTTGAATGCTTGGATTTTCTTAGATATTTCACTTCTAATTTGTCATTTAAATCTAATAGTTGAAGTTGTTCCAAAGTCTTTTTTAATTCATCTTCATTATATTTCACTGTACATCCCAACATTACTAATTTGGGGTTCTTTAATCAAGGTATTTGACATGTGAAGTTGTTACTTAATTTTTCTTCAGTTATTTTTTTAAGTTTCATTGTTTCTTCCTCAGATTTTGTTTTTATAATGATTCCCCCATTTTTGATTTATTTTCTTTTTGTTACTGATACATTAATCAAGCATGGGTTAATTTCTTTTTGAAGAAAATTTGTGGTTTTTTCGAATGGTTGGTTTACTTTTGGTCTTATTATTAATGGAGGATAGTTTCTTACTTGATTGTTCGTTTTTGTAGGTATTTGTACTACATCTGCATATGATATATTTTGGTTTTTCTGATTTTTTTCTAGTTCTTTTAATATTTTATCAATTTTTTCTTCAAGTTTATTTGCGAAGTAGATATTTTCATTTGTTTCTTGTATATTTATTTTTTCTATTAAAGTTTCATTTGTATTTTTTAGTTCTACAATAATGTTTTTTAACTGTTTGTTTTCTTCTTGTAGACTATAAAAATCAATATCTATTTTTTTTTTTTTTTTCGTAATACATTTCCGACAAACCCAATCAGTTTTCATTCTTTTTATTTCATTCAGATCTTTCTTGGATAATTTTAAACAAGTCCAAGTCAGGCAAAACCATTGTTCGCAAACTTTGCATCCCAAGGAGTAGGAGTTCTTTTGAAATTTATATCTGCATCCAGCACAATTATTAGTTGAAATATTTTCTTCTATATTATCTTGTTTTTTATTTATTTTTGTATCCATATCTTGAGTCTCGTTAGATGATCCTGCATCTAAACGATCTTGAGTACAAATATAAAAATCCTTCGCATATTCTACATATTTATTGTCTTGTGGAAATCTTTTTGGCGATGAGTTTGAAAAATTTTCATTAGTATCCTCATCAGTATTTGAATTTGACAAATTTTCTGACAATGACATTTTTTGTTCTTTCTTCTTTGTAGTTTCCGAATGGACGCTTTCATTCTTTTTTTTGTATAACTCTCGTACTTGTAAAGGTAGATTTATTTGTTCTGATTGGTTCCCTTTTTTTGAGTTTTTTTTTGAATTTTTAGGTCTCTAATTTTCGATTTTTTTAGAAGAGTTTTACAGATTGACTTGACACTTTGACAAATTTTTGACATGTTTGTTTCCATCACGTTTCCATAAAGGGACGTTATTACAGCGATACATTTCCTATCTGTGTTATTACAAATTGAAAAGTCTCATTTTTCATAAGAAAATTTCTCAGAAACAATATAAGCAGTTGAATAGCGAAGTGGATTACTATGCATTCAACACACTTCGGAGGGATTGTGAAAACCTCACCAAGGATTGCTACAAATTATACATAAGTGATACTGAAAAGCCATAGGCACTAATGTGATTAGGGTACTACATATTCCCAAGGAAATGTCCAACAGTGTTGACATAGTTAATCTTTTTAGTATTAATTTTTCCTCCTTCTATAACCCTCAGAGAAATTCCAACACCAGAACTTTTGCTGATCGATTTGAGAATGTTTCAAGCATTCTCATAGAACCAACCGATATTGAGAAGGCTCTAAACACAAGTGGATATCAACAACTCTGCAGGTCCTGATGGTATTCCTAACAGAGTACTAAAATCTTGTTCTAACACTTTGTATTTCCCTCTATTTAATTCACAAGTCAGGCAGCAAGGATGATGTAACAAAGTACAGACCTATCAGCATCCTGTCCGCAATTTCTAAATTATTTGTACAGTGCGTTGAAAAAAATTCTTCCAAAAATATTTCATCAGATTGTGATCAGTCAACAGTACGGTTTTACAGCCGAAATCCATCAAAAGTGAATATTGTTATTTGAAAATTTACATGGTAATACTTTTAAAACAATATAACAAATAAACCAAAATTTCAGATGAACCAAAACAACCCTTTGTTGGTCTCACCAAAGAAGAACTGATGAAATACGCCAACGATCCATTCTGGGTACGCCTAAGATGGTTCCTATTTATCTCATTCTGGCTACTCTGGGCTGGTATGCTAGTCGGAGCCGTCATGATTATTTATGCTGCTCCGAAATGCGATCCTCCACCGCCGAGAACCTGGTACCAGCAAGGTCCTCTTACCCAATTACCCCCGGATACAACTCCAGAAACCCTAACATTAGACAAGAATGTTCAGGGTGTTATAATATCCTGGAGTGCAGATGCTTATGAAGCGCTAGAAAAAAATCCTAAAGGTTTGGCTTTAATTAAAGCGGCACAGAAGGATGGGACCAACGTTATTGTGGAATTAGAACCTGCAGTGTCTAATGTGTGGTTCGAACAATCTGAAAGGAAGGAGGCTGAATTTGATGGGTACTATATTTGGAAGTCTGGTAGTATCAAAGGAACTGATAGCAGTCCTTCACCACCTAATAATTGGGTAAGTAATTTGACAAGTTATGGGGGTTCATTTATGCCTGTGCAAGATTTACAATTTTCATACCAAGTATTCTGATTAAAATCCATTGCAGTTGTAAATGTTTACCTTGCCTGAGTAAAGCTTCTAGTTTCAATTACTTAGTCCAACATGGTTTCAGGTTAGTCCAAGCAATGTGTCTTCATGGAAATATTCAGAAGCCAGGAAAGAATATTATTACATTCCATTTGCTAAGCCCCACCTCAACTTCCGTTATCCGCCAGTAGTTGACCAATTCAGCAAAGTAATCGAAAGATTCCTTGCGGTAAATGTTTCCGGAATACGTTTGCGCAACGCCCCATTCTTATTAGTCAATTCTACATTTGAAGACGAAGACGTGAATACCAACCTAAATCCCGACTTGACTTTGGGTCAATATGACTTCTTTAGACACGCAAAAACTGAGAATTTGGCCGATTTAGCAAGTTTGTTATTAACATGGAGGACATTGATTAAAAATAAAACCGAATCTGGACCGTTGATGGTTGCCGAAGACTTGGCCAAAGTAGAATCATTCAAATTCAATGATAGTCTTGTCGTAGATATGCCACTGATGAGCCACATTTTCTCCAAACCTACAGTGTCGGTTAACGAAACTGTGAATAGCCTAAATTATGCTTTTGGCATTAACAGAATTGAATGGCCGTTATGGGAGGCAAAAACCACTGCTCTGCCCAAAGATGTTTTTGATATTATAACTTATCTCCTACCGGGGGCTCCATTAGTAAATGTTACTGATAGAGTAGATGTCGAGCTGCTTAAAATTAGAGATAGTGCTTCAATAATGAGAGGGATATGTGGAGTTTATGGGCTACAGAATAATACAATTTTGGCATTCATAAGGTAAACAAACATCTTGATAGTTATTTAATGTTTATATTAATTTCTGAATTTCTTTTGCTTGCTTTGGATTTAGGCAAAGGTAAATAAGTAAATGTTTTTTTTTTTTTTTAATTTGAATTGAAAGAGATATCCCTTATAGTCCACTAGATTACCTTGCACAGCCCTTCAGGTTACTAGGAATCATTTGTTATGCCTGAAAAGGTACCAGAATTCAAAATTGCTAAGAATTTGGAGTCTTTATTCATACTCGTTTATGCAACCCCAAATGCAGAAATATCTGTGTGTCCCTATTTCTGAATAATTCTAAATCATAATTTAGTACGGGCAGAAGAGAGATCGCAGTCTTATTTGTACTAAAGACTTCTCAAACTTGAAATTAAAAGTGTTACATATGGTTGAACTGGTCATAGATAATTTCCATCACATCTAGTTTTTTTTCAAAGTTCAAAATCTTAACTGTCCTACATGATGCAAAAATTTAAATCGTAGCCCTATGAGAATGCATATCAGGTTGGTCCAAAAAGTTCCTACTAAATTATCAGAAGACGTTTCAACTATGTGGTTACAAAAACATAATATTTTTAATTTAGGGTAACACCTGGCAATCCTGGTATCTTGGTAGCAGTTAATCCAACTGATACAACAGCTGTTGCCAATTTCCCAGCTGAAATTCCACCTCTATCAGACCTTCAAGAAGTAACTATTCGTCATTATAGTAGCAACTATAATAATACTGAATTTAAGGATGTTGGGTAAGGTTTTGAATTATATTTGATTTTTTCTTGAATCATTATTAATTTTTTTTCCAGGTCCAAAAAGACGGCTACTGCAATCCCAGTGACTCCAAAATCCGCCATCGTGTTGGAATACGTGCCAAAAATGAATGAATAATTTTTAATTTTAGGACAGCAACCATTTGTAAACATTCCGCTATCATTAAAGGGAACATTATTGCATTTCAAACAATAAAAATGACAATAATCTACTTTAAAAGTAGCTGTATTTCCCAGCTTTGAAATATAACAAGCATTTATAAAAAGTAATTAGAATAGTAATTTAATTTAATAATCTTCCAATTTCAATAGTAAATGTTTCAATTTTCTAGCTTCATAACTGACAGTCTCTTTGCCATTTGGCGTTTCGTTTTCTTCAGTAATAGTTGCATAAGCAATTGTTCTCACTGACTTTCCATGCACTAAAAATACTATTTCATCAAAATCTGGTTAATTTCTTACATGTACTTACATTCACAACTTTCCAAAAACTGTATACATTCCTGTATAACAGAGTCACGTAAAACTATCATGTGCTTAGCAAGATTTTCAATTAAACTTAAAAAGCAACGTTTAGTGTAGAACCAGGTATCGGTACCAAGCTTTTTGTTGTAAGGTTCCAAAGATTTCATTACTCGCGAAATTCCAAATTCATAATTACCCTTGGAACAATACAAAGTACTAAAAAAAAGGTAAAAATTATATTTTCAAATTATGTGATTCAAAAGTTCTCACCCTATAACCAAATTTATGATGCAATGATGAAAATATTTCTTATCAGGATCTTCAAAATACATTTGGTCTTCCTCCTTTTCAATTTTCCTCATTAACTCTTCAGCTTCCTCATTTTGAGACGTCATTATATAAGAAACGCATAGGTTTGCCAATACTATTGCATTAACGTTAAGGATCTAAAAAAGTACAGTAATTGTATATCAATTTATTACATTTTCTAAGGCCCGGTTTATTCATTTTCAGATAAACTTGCTGCAAGATAAATTCACCGTTCTATATTTTTTTTGGTCTGCAAATAACTGGCTGACCAATGGGATTACAGATTGCGTTTTTATCCGTCAGATTGTATACCTGACAGTTTATCAGAAGATGAATAAACCAGCCTAAATCTCACATCAGAGTAGCTTTTTTTAACCAAAGGTTCATAAAACCCAGTAGCTTCTTTAAACTTATTTTCTTGCATAAATAAAACATGGGCAACATTGAGCCTCCATATGTCATGTTCATTGCAAAACTCAGCACTTTTCCTAAAGATTTTCTCCACTTGTGGATAATTCTCTAGGTCCCAATATATTTTGGCTTGGGCCATTAGGACCGGAATATATCGATCCAAACACTCTTCATACTCCAATATGGCCTTTTTTACAATTTCAATGTCGCCTCTATTTCTATATTCCTGAACTTGCTTGGCTAGTTTACGTAACTGTTCAGTATGCCTGCTAGCAAGCTCGTCAAATTTCTGATACGCTTCACTAGGTGATGTTTGTTGAGTGATAATAGCATCCAAAAAATCATAAAGATACTACAACAAAAAAAATCTTATGATTATATTACATTATAGGAAGCATTCTTACTGGAGTGAGATATTTGTAAGTCAAATGTGCATTTTCAGCAAGTATATCAGCTGCTAAATCATAGCATTCATGTTGGCAATACAACAAAAGTAAGTTGGCGAAAGTTTCCGGAGGAAATGGATTTTGCTGCAACAAGAATTGCAACTTCTCAAAACCCTCGGTAGGATTCTGGTCAAAGTTAACCAAAGCTTGATTGTGCAAAGTTACTGCATCTAATTCATATTCAGCTCTTGGAGGCATGTCTGTTAGAGCTTCTCTGGCAGCATCCTCTAAAAATCAACTTATTTTTTTAGGATTTTTTTTTTAATACAAAATATTACTATTTTTTAGCTGATATTCTATTGCAGCCTTTAAATTGAAAGCCTCTGTTAATGAAGTTTCATGTAAAGTTAAAGTGTTTCCTACTGAACGCACTTCAATTCCTTCTGTTTGCATTCCTATGCTTAACTCAGGGTGATCTCGTATGCCCTTTTCTATAATGTCAGCTAAAAATGTGATTTTTTTAATACAAAAACTGCTTTACTTTATTTATTTATTTATTTATTTACTTTATTGAAGTTCTTACCACAATATTTAAGAGAAGATCCATACTCTTTGAGTCTATAATAACACAGTGCAATGTTATAAGCCAAATAAGGCTTGAAGCCTTGAATTTGCAAAGCGCTGGTGAACTTTGCCAAAGCCTCCTCATAATTGCCGTCTTTGTATAAAAGACAACCCAAATTAACTTCTTTATCAGGATCATCATTGGGACAAGAATCTACCAGATTTTTTGCTGACAGTACATCTTCTTGGCTGTACTTTATTGCTGCTTGAAGCTTGGTGATTTGTGCAGCGTATTTTGGATTTTCAATTAGCTTATTGGAGACCTACAGAAAAGTATGTCCATAATGGTGAAATATAGTTAGTGGCTAGTTACCTGAAAAGCTTGATCGTACAAACAAGCCTGATACAGTGACTGGGTGTAATACAATTTATAATCGTCATTGTCAGGATACATATCGGAAAGTTGTTCATAATAACTGGAGGCGTTATTGAAATCTTGAATGTAAAAGTAACAATAAGCTAGAAGAGATAGTCCGGCTCTGGTGGAACTTGATTCTGGAATTCCGTGCAGTACTTTTATAGCTTCGTTGAAACGACTTTCTTTTATCTGGAATAGTGATGGTAATAAATGGTAAGTTGGTGTAGCTTGCATTAATTTCGAATTTTCGCGGTGAAGGTGTGTGGTAGACCTAAAGTAAGTAATAGGGGAATGCTTGATGTTTACCCCATTGACACTGAGTCATGGGACTTAATAAATCTTAAGCTGGAACAAAATGTGAAATGTTTATGAGGTGTATTGAGCGGAATTTTTCGCAGTTCTTTTTCTGAGAAGACGAAGTCTGTGAGGAATCATCAACCATTAATAGGGTGCTCTGGTTTCATGAAAATCTCCAAACATATTATGCTTTCTGAGTCAGATTGTTCAGCAATATAATAGAACGTGAGATAGGTCAGAGAGAGAGAGAGAAGTACTTAAACATTCCAGAAATGTAAACTGAACTACTTATCTATGGAAGATATAAAAAAAATATAAGCATATAGCAGGTACAACAGGATGTATCTACATCCAGAAATTTCACAAACTTATGTGGACAATAATAAATAAAATACCAATATAATGACAAACTTTGAACCAGATGAATTTGATCAGTAGCTTCTAATCCCATGGAAGATTACCTCAAATAAACATCGATCCATTGTAGAACTTGGACAGAGACCCGGCGGATTACTTTTCTTTTCGGTAGGTATAACTTTTATTACAGTTGGGAATGTAATAGACAAACGTTAAAATGTAATTAATTCCAATATCTATATGCCTATACAAAAGTCAGTAAAAATATTTAAACCAAGTTGATTAATTATATATTTTGAATAGCATGTGCTGTCCTAAAGCCCAAACTCCTATTCTCAAATGAGGCTAGTGGTTTCAAACTAAAGCCACCAATCAAGTTTTTGAAATACCTATTATGTATGGCGATTATTGAACATTTTAGGAAAAATTAAATATTATTCACACACGTCAATAAGTGTGAGAATAGAGTAGTTTGTAATAAGTATTATGACATAAATAGTACTTTTCCATTTTATCTATGTTCAATTCGAAGCAAAAAGCAACCAATCATTACCTATACCTATGTAATAGTTATGGTGCTATCAATTGAAATAACTTGACCTGCTCCTTACCAAATTGTACACAGTTTTGGTGAAATCACCATCATTTATTACTTGAGCTGAATACATTTTTTCACCAGTTACTTCAGAAATATTTGCTTAAAACATTCAATTTTTAATGTTGATACTGACAATACGCTGAATTATTTCACGGCTTCCATAGAAACAGTTTTGTTTGTATTCAAAGAATCTGAGGAGTCAGGATGTGGTCTTGCACGAACTACATTATTCATTAATATTAGCTCACGCGTATACGATAACTATAGTAGTGTGAGCTACGGTGTCAAAAATAGGAAAAAAAAAAGTTAAATTAACTTTTTTAGTGTGCATCACACCGCCATCTGAGTGTCTCCAAAAAATTTAAAACTCTAAAAAAAGTCGTGATTTTTGTCAAATTACAAATCCAGGCCAGCACACAAAGTCTTAAAGACGTCTTTTTCAGGTCTGCATTGCGTCTGAACGTCTGAAGACCAAAAAAAGATGTCTAGAAGACGTCCGTAAGATGTTGTAAATTCACATCTTAAAGACAACTGAGCCACACTATGTATTTGGTACAACCGGGCCTAAAAGTGATGAGTATTAAAAAGAGATTCAAAGACGTCTTTGAGATATCTCATTGAAGACGTTTCTAGAATGTCTTAGAAAGATGTCATAAAGACGTTGGGTTTTGTAACATACGTCGTCTTGAAGATGCCCTGAACACGTCTAAACAACATCTTGAATGTCGTTTGTAGACTTCTTAGGGACGTAATTAGTTTCTCATTCAATTTAGAAGTTACTGGAAACCATTTAAAATGATACAGAACAGTTTAGAACTTTAATAAGACCTTTGGAAGGGAAATACTTAAAACTGGATTAAGAATTTCCGAAAGCATTCTGTAACGCATCAGTACAATTTGGAAACTTCAGAACCATTTTAGAATGCTCCAAAACATGGAAAAACCAATTTACAATTTCCAAAAGCATTTAAGAACAATTCAGAAGTTTGGAACCCATTTCAGGACGCTCCAAAACAATCAAGCACTCTAGAATCTCCGAAACATTTTGAAAAGCGTCAGAATCTTAGGATTCAGGTAAAAAGTTACGAAACGCCTTTCAGAAGAGCAAATTCAGATTGCTGTAAAACTTCAAACCTTTTGTTAGTATTCAGAACAGTTCAAATCCAAATCGGAATTTTCAGGAGCATTTTGGAACAATTTATAAACCTCAGAGTTATTTCAGAACAATAATTGTAAGATTCAATTTAGAACTGGAAACCTTTTAGAACTCTTTTGAACCAATTTAGAATACCTTTAGAGTTTCAATAGGGCTCTAGAATACAAAACCTACTTAAAAATCTGTCAGAATAATTTAGAAATTACTAAAAATCTTCTCAAATGTTTCAGAATCATTCAAGCCAAGTTAGAGCACTGAAGAACTTCAATAAGCCATTTGGAACGTTCCAAAACATTTTCCAGGGGCATTTTGAAAGACTTCAGAACAATCTAAAAACCTCAGAATTATTTTAGGGAGACTGAGGAAATATTGTCGTATCTAGGATGATAGTGCATCTCCCTTCGGTTAATTAAACCCAATCGTCTTCCAAAAGCTTTATATTAAATGCACTTTCTTATTTTTGTAGTTTGTACTTGGCTATAGTTTTGATTCTCACCCCCTCATAAACCCCAGGTCCGGCATATGGTAGAGGAGCCGTGTTCTTTCCCTTTCACCAAATCTTCCTATTTGGTGTAGTTATTTTGTACAATTTGTTTTTTATTTTCTTTTTGGGGTGATGCATGAATCAAAGGAGTGCCAGTATAATTTTCCTATTTTTTTTCTCAATAAGTGCGACCAATTTAGCTAATTTTTATTTATAGTGATTACTGATTATACAATTATACTATATTATATTTTCTTCCCGATTTTTAATTATTTTGATGTTAATTTTTTTTTGGTAGTACCTATAGGTTCCTACCATATTAAGACGAGGGTAATTAGACTGGTCAAATGAGAATTTTTCATTGAGGAATAATAGTTACCTATGCTTATAGAAGAAAACAAAGCAGGGCAAGATTGAATTCGAGAAAACAATAGAGAAGTCACAGTCACAGCATCGAAAAAATAAGTTTTAAGCCTACACTACATTTTATTTTTCTAAAATCTTTCTGATGAAGCTAAAGTTTAGCGAAACATGTTAAAAGTTTAACAAAAAATTGTGGAAATATATAAGTATTAAAATTTACTTAAAAAATCTTTTATTACACTGCAAAGCATTGTAATTAGCGGTTTTTCTCTGTCAAATAAACGAAACAGGAGTCCAACTGGAAAGAGTTCAGAGTATAAATTCTTCTTGAAACAAAATAAACAAATACTTTTTTTTTGACTCAAACTATTTTGCGTTGTAAGTCCTGGAGAAGTGACTGACGCTTTAGCGAAAAGAAATAACATAACTCCGGAGCAGGACTCAACGAGTGCTCAGAACAACCCCTAATACATCAAAGGAATATCTAACCCAGATTTAAGGAGAAATATAAAAATGGCGAATTCAACAATGCACGAAGCACGAAGCTTCGTCAGAAGTCATACGCCCTGCAACTCCAAAATTTGTGGAAACTCCAATTTTTAATCCAAGTGTAGACTATCAAATAGATTTCTTGAAGAAGAGAAGTGATTGACGCTTTAGCGAAAAGCAATAACATAACTCCGGAGCAGGGCTCAACGAGTGCTCAGAACAACCCCTAATGCATCAAAGGAATATCTAACCCAGATTTAAGGAGAAATATAAAAATGGCGAATTCAACAATGCACGAAGCTCCGTCAGAAGTCATACGCCCTGCAACTTCAAAATTTGTGGAACCTCCAATTTTTAATCCAAGTGTAGACTCTCCAATAGATTTCTTGAATAAATATGAAAGAGCAACAGGCCTGAGTGGCTGGAAAGATTCATACAAAATATCTTTTTTTGGGTGTTTCTTAGAGGGCGCCGCCAATAGCTGGTTTTCAGCATATAAATCAAGCCAGTCAAATCAAAACCGAACATGGGAAAATATAAACACTGACTTCTCGAAGCAGTTTAGCGGGAAACAACCGCTAAGAAAATTAAACTTCAGATTGAATACGAGAAGACAACAGGAAAACGAGGATATCGCAAGCACTTCTACTTCGAATTATACGCCCTAGCTTATGAGATAGACCCTAAGATGCCCTTTGAGACTTTTAGGGACCATTTCGAGAATGATCTCCACTCATCTTTTTACGAAACTTACTACCTCGTGAGTTCAGGAACGATGGACCGCGCGAAGTTGAGAAGGTTGGTCCTGAAATTAAGCGATGTAAAGGAACGAGCTTTGATACAACAAATAACCCATCAAACGACCCTACTAACATTGGACGAGCGAAAGGGCGGTAACTCAAGCAATTTTAAAAGCACTGGCTGAGCGCACAAAAAATTCCGGAAGAAATTATGAACTCAACGACAGGAATTCTGAAAGTTTTGAAAGAAGTTATGGATACAAAAAAGAATACGAACCAAGAAGGTCCTACAATAGGAATAGGGAATATCACAGAGACAGAGGAAACAATCGAGACCGATACCAAGGGAGATATAACCCAAATTACCGCCAAAAGAATAGACAATTTCCAGAAACAAGAAATCACGATGGCAGACCAAGATATCAAACTGCGGTAAAATTGGTCACTACATATGCGACAAGAGTTTCCAAAATCACGGCCAACAGAGAAGAACAATCTTTTCAAGAGATAAATCACAGTCCCCAAAACGACAAAGAGAGACTCAATTGGAAAACCCGAATGAAGTCGTTCTGCAGACGGGGGCTGCCAACATTTTAAGAATAAGTGGGCAAGTAAATAACCGTCCAAACGTAGAGATAGTATTAGATACTGGGTCGATGCATTATAGAGAAATCTTTCTGCAACAAAATCACCCCGACAAAAGAGGCGATTTCTTTGATGACTAATGATGACTGCAGGTGGTAACAAAGTGACCCCTTTCGGAATCTCGGAGGCTAAAATTACAATAGGAAATATATCCGGATAGATAGAGGCATTAGTAGTAGAAAAACTTCCGGAACCCTTAATTCTAGGCACTGATTTCCTGTTGAAAAATAACGCCAACATTGACTTTGAGCGAAGGACGGTTCATCTAAGGAACAGAGATGCTTACGCGACCTTAAATTTTGAAGACAAGAAAGAAGCAATAGCCGCCGTTCAAAAAGAAAAACAAGAGCTTCCCCAAACTGAATTACAGGATAATATAATAAAAGTTTATGCAAGCGAAAACTACAACCTTAAGCCCATCAATTACCATGTCACGATAAAAGTGAACATAAGAAATCACATAGGCCTAAAAGCAAAAACTCTACAGAGCATGCAGTTTAATGAGTTTGATCGCACACTGAGACCAAAGGGTCTTCTTTGCCTACGACCCCCCTATTTACTAGGACAAGACTACGTTCTGGATATTAAGTTTCATGAGTAGTCAGAGGTACACCCCAACTTTTAGCGATAACTTTGGCATGCACACGCACGCACTTTTCATGACCTGGAATATAGCCCTGTCGGCAATATTGGGATATGTCATTTTCCACAGAATCAGAAATAAATATTTTACGTTAGCTGCATTAGCTGCAGCACCAATTCCGGTAACTAATGCGAGCATACGCACTACGCAGGCAGGAATAATAATTGATGTTGGACTTCCAATTATTTTTGGCGTGTAGAAAAAGGTAAAGGACAGAGCCCAAACAACAGACGGAACAGGAAATGAAAACGTTCCTAACCGTAAAATCAAAAAAGTTTATATTGCATCTGAGTGATGATCAGGACCTTCTTTCACTAAAACCCGGCGAAAAACGTGATGTAGTTATAGAATGTGGTGATTCAACTAATTAAAAGTAATTATTAGTTAAGTATTTAATACAGGTTGCGTATTGAAGTATAAATGTATTATTCTAAACCATCTAAGACCGGGGAAAAGGATATGTAAAGGAAAAAAGGTCCTGAATAGTAATAAGAGTAATTTTCGAATAAATAAGAAATTAAGGTAGGTATTAATTTTTATTTTTTATTTTTTTTCAAGAAGTCCCAGTCAGACATAATTTATGATAATAATAGAAAATAGTAAACAAGGCGCGATGTGATGCCGTAACAATATTAAAATTATTTGTAGTTCATATGTATCTTGTTTCAGCTGACGTAAGCATAGTTACGGCATCAAGTACAGGTCACTGGGACAGTATTTATTATTTTACTGAATGAATTTTTTTTGTCTAAACCGGATGGGCACCAGTGGCGACGCCAGGGGGGGGGCCGGGGCCCCCCCCTGAAATTTAGCTGGCCCCCCCTGAAAACTTGCCATCATGTCGACAACAATGCAATGCAACATGAGTAACTTCTGCTCTCTGTATAATCTGATATTTGGTGTTTGGTGGGCACCAGGCAACCGCGACTATGCTTTCGCTTTTCTGGGATTCCCCCAAACATATTTGTGTCGGCAGGTACAGGGTTTTCCTGTGTTTTTTTGGCACCTCACCTGAAGGCCGGTTTCTCAATAGCAAGCAAGTCACCCCCGGCAGGCCTATTCTCTACGAACAGCAATTACATAGCAACCAGCAACCGGTTGCAAGTTGCTTTTTTTGAATAGAAAACTCGCGTTTGACAGCAACTTGAAAGCGACTATTGCGCAATTATCTGCGGTCGCAAGTTACAGAATGAGGCAGCGGGTCAGAGCAGTTAACCATAACTCCAGGGTCAAAGTTGCGCAATTTCTTGCTTAACAAAACGCTTCTTCGAAATTTGGAAAATTCCGAATACTTCCGGAGATACACGGAAATCAAAATTTTGTAAAATCATTTCTATTTTTTCCTGGATTCATTTGTATAAAGGTATTTCAAATAAACTTCACTTTATTGGGGCAACTTTCTCCCCTTTATATAATGGTGTAACCAAATTTGAAATCCGACGTTTCGTCTTTTGCCGATCATCATCAACTTTATTTTTTTAAATAGAGGTTTGCATTTTTATGAATTGTATTCAGAGTTTTTCGATCTCACAAAAACAGTAACACATTTGGCCATTGATTGCGATTTTGTATCTCTTACCGTTTCCTATATTCCAATCCTTGTCCTCGAAAAACGGACACCCTGTATACAAAATCCAAATAAAAACCTTTTTGATACCTATTCAATTAACCTGTTCAGGTGGAGTGTAAAAATATACGGGAAAACTTTGCAATTCCCATATTTTATTTCAAAGAAGAAAAGTAATAAAGTAAGAACAAGTGCCCCCCGTAATTTTTTCTGGCCCAGCCTGGCCCCCCTAACGTAAAATCCTGGCGGCGCCACTGATGGGCACTAATAAATTTATAGATAGATTAGTTTAAGTTAGTATATAAGCAAAGAAATTTTAGTTATTGGAAGTTTTTTGGTCCCATTAATAGTTGTATTTGTAAAATTTGTTATATTAGAGGTTGCAAGAACATTGACAGAAGATACCTACCGGAAGAAGAAAATTAAAGCACTTTGACGGAGCAGACCTGACGTTGATAAAAACATAGCCGCAGGCCAATCAATTCCTTTGGTGGAAAATTAATTTTGGAAAAGGGGCTAATAGTTGGAGGTTGCGAAAACTACTGATTAACTGGTATAAGCCAAGTCGTTCCCTACCTAACGGGTAGATCGGTCTAAAGACCTCAACCTTTCCGGACTACAATAAGGAGCTTGAGATACAAAGTGAAATACAAATGGTCACACACAAAAAAGAAACCGTTTTGGCACATCGCTGGCAAGTTGGCCAAGGACGAGTATGGTTCCAGAACCAGCAGTACCGATTTTCCAGCAGAACCCCAGAAAAAACTCCGAATTCAACGCATGGACACCATTCAACGGAACTAGGTTTAACAAGGCTATGTATGTCATTAGAAGTCAACGCCAACGCCCAGGGAACTCAGAAGAAGAGCCGACACCTACCGTTCTACACGACGACGTCATCTCGTAAATTTTTTTGTATTAGTTTTTTTTTCAACCTTATCGTGTAAAATATTGTATAAGATTTTTTTTTCTTTTGTAAAGCTGGGGCACAGCTTTCTAAGCCCAAGGGATATGTCGTATCTAGGACGATAGGGCATCTCCCTTCGGTTAATTAAACCCAATCGTCTTCCAAAATAGGTTCATGTGTTTCAGGAAAATCATTGATCACGATACGTTTAAATAACATTCGGTTGCAAGCTAAAGGAATTATTGAATTAATAATTTTATACGACGATTCTAAACCCGGTCGCCTGATTAATATAAAAGAATGGTTTATGGAAGATGGGGGAGAGTCTACAGACCGAGAATGATTCGCGGTAGTTAGTCAGTATTGTTAGTGCCTTTTATTAGTCCTGTGATAATTACTAGTACACAGAGCTGGGAGTAACGACAAAAAAAAGTTACTTTACTTTAACGAGTTACTGAAAGTAACGCGTTACTTGGTAACTTCGTTACTTTTCAGATTGATTGATAAGTAACTGTAACGACGTTACTTTCCTGAAGTAACGCTGGAAGTAACGCGTTACTAGTTACTATGAAAGTAACTCGTTCTCTCAATTTGTTTATCTTCTTTACAAATAATTGACGAGAGAGTAAAAGGAAAATAAGTAATCCAAAAACTTTGTACGTCAAATAAAATGTTGGTAGTACAGAAAATTTCTTTTGAAAGCTCAAAATAATCGTTTTTGGGCGTACCACGCGCCGCCTCTGCTCTAAGGACACTATATCGAAATCAAGTGCTCTATTCAGTCGCTTAATCCTTAATCCGTTTCAATTTTGCAAGAATACTCTTCCACATAGTCGGACTCACAAACTAAAAACATATTGGCATTTCGTATAGGTCTTAGGACTGCTGTGTTGGTGAGTCAAATTAAGAAATAACGCAATTTTCGACGTAAATAGTTATTTTTGAAGTAACGCGTTACTTTAAAAGTAACGAACTACTTTTAAAGTAAAGAAGTTACTTTCAAAGTAACGAAGTTACAGTAACGCGTTACTTTCCAATAAGTAACGGAAATAAAGTTATCATTATTCGAAAGTAACTGTAAATTTTAAGTAACGAGTTATTTTTAAGCAAAAGTAACTGTATAAAGTAACGCGTTACTTTTTTCAAGTAACGATCCCAGCTCTGCTAGTACACTTTCTTATTTTTGTAATTGGCTATAGTTTTGATTCTCACGCCCTCATAAACCCCAGGTCCGACAATATTAGCAAGAAAATGTTCCTCTTTCAATTCAAATTCTTGAATTTTTACAATTTTCCTATTCCAGCAGGCTCTTGATTTTTCCTTATTTCTTAATTTTTAATTCTAAACTTTCTTTTGGCTCTTGAATTTTTTCATTTCCCAAGTTCTTGAATTCTCATTATTCCCATATTTTAGAATTCCGTATTTTTTCGTTTAAAAGAAATCAAGAATTTAAGAGCCTAGTGTTTGAAATAGACAAAAATTTAAAATTATAAAATCGATAATAATAATAAAATATTAGTCTTGAAGACGTGTGGCAGACGTCTGAGAGACGTTGGATTTTGTAGCATGTAGCAAAGATGTCTTTGATACGCCTTGAAGAAGTAAGCAGTCTCTGTGATGTCTGGGAAATTAATTTTGATTGATTGTTAGTAGTAGCTAATATGTATAACTAGGTATTTCCCATGTGGCACAAACATAGACTACAATCGAAAATTGCGACAGTCTTTTATTTTTTTTGGGTCACTTCAGCATTCTAATACATTACCCCCAGAATCTTTCTGGGTATTCCCCCCGTAAATCTATAGTTTTACCCTTAGTTTTACCATAACCGCACTCTTGGAAAGCCTATCATGAAAGGATTTATCATAATCCGGCCGATATACTTAAAAGTAGGCATACTCGCGATTCGATTGTTTTATGGCTATAACTTTGCTCTAACCCAAAACAAGAAAAGGGGTAGAGGTTGATTCCAAAAATTAGTTTTGCTCAAAATATGACTTGTGTAGTGTTACCAAAGACAGCACATACTATCCTCGAATAGGCAACCGAAAAACATACTTTTTTTTATTTTAGGATAATATGTAGGTAGGTACTTTAAAAAAAAAAACAAAATTCCAAAAAAAAAATCCGTGTGCAGTTTTAAGCGTATCTTCCATAGGACGCTTCCCTAGAGGGATTTATATGATTTTCAACTCAACTTTGTAAATCTATTTATAATTTTCAATATTTTGTGTATCAAATAATTCTTCGAACATATTCTTGGCCCACTTTGTATAATGTAGAGTAGGTTCTCTGTTTGTTTTGTGCTGCTAATAAATTACCTAATAATCATCGCAGATTCTATTTTTACCACATTTATATTCAAAAAAACAAACAACAAGACATACTGAAGCTACATACAATTATTTATTTAGTCAGTATCTATATGTACTCCAAAAATCAACTGGAATTGCTTTGCTACTTATTTAAAAAATACTTATTATGATAGCAGCGGGCCAGATATTATCGGGTTTCTTATCATTCAGTTTTATATAAAATACATTTTCACCTCATCTGGATTCTCAGTTGTTTCTAGGCTTTTAAAAAAATCACTGAAATGGTAAGAGGTTTGAAAATTTTATATACCAATTTGTATCAGATAAATATTGTTGAATATTCACATAAAAAATCTAATAACGTATTTTTCAGGCCACATTTACTTATCGAGGCCTTATGGCCCCAGTTTTTACTGCTTTTAATAAGGATTGGTAAGAAATTATTTGTTTATTTATTCAACATTCGATCTTTATAGTACCCTTGGCACTTGTTTGGTTAAGCTAATTATTGCTTACTGATAAAAACAAAATATTGTTTAAATAGTCAGTTATCTCGACTAAATTTTATTTAAAGAAAATCCGAAGCGTTTAGCACGTGATACAAAAATTCTATAACACGCCAGAAGTAGGGGTAGGTTCTTACTTACCTACTAAAAACGCCGCAATTCTGGAGTCCGTGAAACTGCCAAATGGTTGGAAAGTTTCCTAAGGCGAACCAAGCTTAAAAAACCCTGGCAATTACGTTTTCCTAAACTCAATGATATTGGAAAGTATTAGAATAATATAGGTGGAAATGTGGCGATGGCTGCAAGAACTCAAAGAGAAGATTAAAAAAAATATTTCCAAACTAATAATATAAATTTTTTGACATTCTTATTCCACAAACAACATGAAATTTTCTCTTGTCCGATATTTCACAAAGCAAATTTTCGAATGTAATACCACAAGAGGTTTCAGGATTACCGGATAATACTTTTACCTGTCACGAAACGCGTTACGCAGCAACACCACGACTCCGAAGGAGGAGTGGTGTTGCTGGTAACGCGTTGAGTGTCAGGTAAAAGTATTAGGTAATCCTGAAAACTCGAGTGGTATTCAAAAGGTTATACAACGAACTAAACTTTAATTCTTTATTAATTAATAATTTCATGAATCAAAAATTTAAATTTTTTTGTCAAAAAATGTCAAAACACCAGTTACCGTGCAAAAGGATTATCACTTATTAAGCCTCTCGTGTCATATGGGAAGGATTATCACTTTTTAATCCTCTCGTGTCATATGGGAATAATGTACAGTGAGTTGTATAACCAACATAATTTGAACTCATGTCATGAGGCGTTTAAAAAATAACCGGTGTTTTTGTACATTACGTCCGTCGTTACCCTTTCCACACGCCAAAACTTCAAGAAAACCCGTATCTTTCAGGTCAGTCAACACAAAAGTTATCCCAACCTATGCCAAATTTCTAGCTGATAGAGGATTAACTTCAGTTTTAGGTAGGTTTCCCCAAAAAACAACTTATCGCATCAACAATCCAATCTGTTTTAGTACATGGTTCGACAGGAGAAGGCCCTGCCCTATCTGTTGCAGAACGTAAAACTATAACAGAAGCTTGGGTAGCAGCAGCCAAAACCACCAAACAACATGTAATGATCCAAGTTGGAGGCTGCCCTCTACCAGACGTACTGGAGCTGGCCAAACATGCAGAACAAGTCGGCGCTGACTCTATACTTTGCCTGCCAGAGTTGTACTTTAAAGCGAATACTGCTCAGGAATTGATTGATTATTTGAAAAATGTTGCTGCCGCTGCACCAAATACACCTTTGTTGTACTATCATATACCAATGTGGAGTGGAGTGCATGGTGAGTCATTTCTATTTATATTCAATTTTACAATAATATTTTTTGTAGTTAACATGGAGCAATTTCTAAACCTCTCAGTTGGACAAATTCCAAGCTTCCATGGCATTAAATATACTTCAAATGATTTGTCAGAAGCTTACAATGCTTTGAAGGCGGCTGATGGAAGATATGCTGTATTTTTAGGTGCTGACACAGTACGTAATCACTTTATTTGAAGCCATCAGTTTGTTACTAATGTAAAATTTCAGTTGGTGCAACCAGCTTTTGCGTTAGGATTCGACTCGGTTATAGCAACAGGTCTCAATTTCCTTCCCGAACATTTCGTTAAACTTGTTGCATTAGTGAAAGAAAATAAAATTGTAGAAGCCAGGAATGTCCAAGCAAAAATCACAGCTGCAGTAAAAGCAGTGTCGAAACATGGTACGAATTTTGATTTTTATAAATTCGAAACAATTATTTGATTTTTAATGTTTTAGGTCATTGGATTCCCACCATGAAAGTGGCAATGAATAGTTTCACTTCGGTCGATGTGGGATTGGCCAGAGAACCTCTAAAAAATTTAACCCAAGAACAAGTTAAGCAAATACAGACAGAAGTGAAACAATATGTTTGATAAACTCCATGAGTTGTGATCAAGTTGAATAAAAATTTATTGTTTTTTATTTTATTCTTATTCTTTTTCAAATTCTAATGACAGTTCGCCGTTTGCAAGTAAAAATTCTGTTCCAATCTTTTCCATGTGTTATGTGTTAAGGGCCCCATACACTACGATGAAACACGACGGTTTTCACCGCCACGATGAAACACGTCGTTCTAAAACCGAAGTGTGTAATAGAAAAACACGACGGTTTTCTACAGGGCCCCACAGACTACGATAAAACACGACGGTTTTCATCGCCACGATGAAACACGTCGATCCAAAACCGAAGTGTGTGGTAGAAAACCGTCGTGTTTCATCGTCTGTTTAAAATTCAGTCCAAGCTTGATTTTTGGCACGACGGTTCAACATTTCGTACACACGAACGGTTTTCTACCACACACTTCGGTTTTGGAACGGCGCCGACGTGTTTCATCGTGGCGGTGAAAACCGTCGTGTTTCATTGTAGTGTATGGGGCCCTGTAGAAAACCGTCGTGTTTTTCTATTACATACCTCGGTTTTAGAACGACGTGTTTCATCGTGGCGGTGAAAACCATCGTGTTTCATCGTAGTGTATGAGGCCCTTTAGTGTCTTGAGCAGCCAGAATTCAACTACCCCAAATCGAAGATTGTTGGAATGGAAAGTGATCAAGAGGAAGTTAAGGTAGGTGCAAAACACACGAGACGAATTTATGAGTTGAACCAGGTTATACATAGGTAAGAAGGCATTATAACAAGGATGAAAAGAACTTTGGACTTTGAAGACGACGGCGACGTATTTGCTTCAGAGAAACAATCTGGAAAGAAACTGGAAGAATGTAGGACTAAAATAATGAATTTGGAGGATTTCCTGAAATCTACTAAATAAGAACTGCTAGACAAACAAGAAAAAATACAAGAATAATTATTAAAATTGCGAAGAAGTGATAAAGAAATCTCAAGATGAAAAATAGTGTTTCAATTGAAAAACAAGGCGAAGAAAATAATCAAAAAATGATCGCTGAACTGTCTCATGAATAAAGAGATGATAGCAACAATACGAATTTTTGAAGAAGAAAATAAACACTATAAAGCGCAGATATACGAAATAAAAGAAGAATAGGTATAAGACAAAAGGAGGGAATGGGAGGAGACAACTACAACTAGAAGAAACACAGGTGTTCATGTTCATAATCCAGATGTGAGGTTGGACAGTGAAGTGGTAAATAATGATTCTGCTACTACACAAGAATTTAAAAAATCAAAAATTCTTATATTGGGAGACAGCTTAGCTCGGAATTTGGACATTTCTTTGAAAGAAGCTCTGGATGGAAGCAAATATTTGATATCATGAATATATTTAAGCCTGGTACACTCAGCCAGAGTATTGGCGAGAACATTGATTATTTGATTTGTGACTTTGGGATCAATGATTTTGTGGTCGTAATATATGGTTCTTACGATTTGTTTCAAAACAAGATTCCCTCTTTTAATTTGCTGTTGTCGAAACTAAGGGCGTGCATAAAGAGAAAGTAAATTTGTATATTGTTTGTCTGTACTCTGTACCGTCCTCCTACGGCAAGCCGGTTAAATTTTATTGAAAGCTTGGAGGTATTGCTTAGTCAGTTTCCATTTTCTTGTTCTTTATTGGTTCCCTCAGGAGATTTTAATATTGATTACAACAGCCACTCTAGTGTCCAAATAAAAAAAATATTATCCTGGTTTAACCTAAAAATGCACATCTTGGAATCCACCAAAATTACTAAGCACTCAATAACTACTATCGACTACATTTGCTCAAACCTAGCAGATGCTGACTGTCATGCAAAAAAATCGGCACTATCTGATCACGAAGCCATATAATAGCGAGTTTCAAATTTGATGTAAGAAAATCTATACCCATTAAGAAGAATGGTCGAATTCATAGTAAAGAAAACTTTCGCAACTTCCGTGACAACTGCAGAAAAACTAACTGGACTGTACCGTAAAGTGACATAACTTTGACCGGTTTTCAACTTTACGCTGCAATATTGCATTACTTGAAGGCGACAAAAATCAAACAAAAGTGCCAATATTGGGGCTGTAGGTACCTGATATTATAGAGACATGAAATATTATTTGTGGTTCCATCAACACAGACCGGTTTTTTTTTTAAAAATGTTGGTATGGTCAAAGTTACGACCTGGAAAGGTAACTTTGACCACCGATCTAAAAACTGAAATAAACTAATGTTACAGGGTAAGATTGACCAGTAAAAATGTTTTAAAAAAATTTCTAAGGCTATAAAAATCATAAAAATCGAGTTAGGAATAAGAAAACTACAACATTTTAACTCATTTATTATTATTCTTTCTCCAAAAGTCAAAGAAATATCAACAAAATGTTATTATCTAATCAACTTTAACTTAAATTCTAATGGAAATAACATAAATTTTTTGTTTCTAATCAGTCAGTTGCATTATATCCGCTGAAACTGCATATTATCATTCATAAATCTAATATTGCAAAAAAAATAAACCTTTATTCTTTGGTGTGAAACAGAACACATTAAAAAAAAACCTCTACCTAACCTATCTAATTTCTACTTGTTAATTTCACTCTATTTCTAGAGGATTGAGAAGAAGTTCTCCTAAAAATAACCCCTGTTTTCTATTTGAAGAATTCTTTAGTTTCACAACTATCTGCTCTGGTTCTATAATCGATTAATCCACTACCTACGTTTGGCCAGAAAAAATTTAACTTTTTATTTCGTAAAAATGAAACATCAACTCCCGAATCATTTGAAATGACCCAATGACCGGTGGTCAAAGTTAGGAACGCAAAAAAAAAATAGGTTAGAAAATTTTGAAAAAACTCCCTGAACTCTAAATAAAGTGTTAACGCCAAATCTAACACATGCATTTGCGAACATACATAACAGGATACTCACCGTGAGTAATGATGACTCCTGAATATATTTTGTTTGCTCTCCACGAGGGAAAGTTTGCAAGTGACAATTTTCAACCAACTTTTGGTTCAAACGGTCAAAGTTTATTGTCCATCTGATTTTTAACTGAACATGCAGTCCGCAACACAGTGCCAGTTATTAGACATTAGACTAACTGTTTGTAGGTAGAAATCGCCAGCAATATACATTCACAGTTTTTTAAGGTGCATTATATCATTTAATGATCTTTTGGTCAATGTTAGGGGAACAGTCAAAGTTAGGGGACTTTACGGTAGCTGGTAAAAGTTAACTAAAATTATCCATAAATCCTTTCCTGTTCATAAAATTAAAAAGAAGTCGAAGAAACAATGGTTAACTAAAGCTATATCTGAAGGTATCTGCTAAGAATATGCGAGCTTTGCACTATACCTCAGGAAGTTCTTCTCTGAAAATGCATTTTTGATATCATTTTAACCAATACCGAACTATCTATGGGTTATCCAGTAACTACTAGTTGAATAAGAAATGGTGTTCTATAATCAACGGTTACTTCAAGAACTTATAGTTAACCTACAGTCAAATTAACCTAAGCTTGGACATGAGTTATCTATTGGTCAAGCGACACAGCGGGCATTTTCATGTAAGTTGGGAAATTAGGAAAACGTTAGTTTTTTATGTATGAATAATTACGAAATAAATGCGTATAGCAGCGAAGAAGAAGCAAGAAGACCTAGAATATTTAGGCCTTTAGAATTGATTATTTTGAAGAGTATGATGAATATGATTTTGTCTGCCAATTTCGTTTAATGCACAGGACAGTATAGCTGAAGCAAACTACCACCGATTGAGAATCTCATTGCTCATCCAACACACAGGTAAAAATGGAATACTCCATAATGTACCTGATGTCCTGTTATTATCCTGTGTTGTTTTTGGAATGAGCGTCTTTTACCTACAACAGCTTTTGCTTATTGTTTATTTTATGCCAACGGGTCATTTTGAAATGTATTGCAGGAGATCATCAGGGGGTAAGCAAAGTAACTGCTTCACAAACGGTCAGCTATTGCTGACTTGTGACAAAATTATATTCAGATATCAGCTGCTGAAGAGATTGGAAGAAAGAGTCAAAAGTTTTTTAACCTCCACATTTCGTTACAAATTAAATTGCTCTTCCAACAATTCCCAAGTATTTTCCTTTTCTCTCGGTTCGTGCTTTTCTCTAAGTGAGACTAAGAGGTATTTCTCTTCTTTTGAGAAGTTTCTTACTAGTTTTTTCCATATTCCATTAAGAAACTAACAAATTAGAATGCAAATTACTTTGTTCACAACAATCACAACCAAGGTTCCTAAAGTTAATAAGGTTGTTGGTAATGGGTAAGTTGATGATGCATCTGGGGTGCCTCATGGAGATTTGAATTATGTTGAGGCACCCCCATTGAGGCACCTCAGATGACGTCATAAAAGCAACCTACCTTTCTCAAGTTTGATTTACAACCAGTTTTTAGTTTTAGGTTATTGCGACTTGACTTCTTTTTTCCAAGTCAAAATCTGTTAAAAAACTGTTATCAATTACAAAAATGAAAATCTTACCAGTGGTTTCGGAAGTATTTTCGTTGTGAAACAAGAGTTGGTTGGTTATGGTTATCTAACTCCCTATGGTTACTGTAGCAAAACGCCCCAAGTACTCTATGTAATTAGTTAGATGGTAAATGGCGAGCGGTATATTGATGGTGTTTATTTACTTGGAGCTGCTACCTAAAATCTGTGGAAGGGTCTATTTGCAAGAGAGAGAAACAAACTATTGAGGTGTACTAAATTATATTTTATTATACATAAAACCAAAATTTTTAATCAGCCAAATACCTTCCAATTCTGACAGCCTCATCTATTTCTATAAATTCAATTACTTCACATCCGTTCTATAATTGTTATTATTACGGACCACTGAAATATCCCTACTAAATAAGAAACGCCCTATTCCTACTATTCCTAATAAACTACCCTTCACCTAATTATATAAATTCTTTAAAGTTTCTAAGTCCTTTACTGACTGCTTATGAAAAACCAAAAATAATTACCATTTTGTTTATTAATATTGGTATTACTATCTTATTCTTATAAAACCTTACAATAATTTCTACATGAAATTTAAAATCGCTACTTTAAAAGTTCGGCACTTAAGATCATCAATGTCTCTTGATGAATAACAAATTTCAAATAAACCTTTTCAATACGTCTAATGATTATCGTCAGCATTTTTATTTCATGAAGGACAACAGTTCTTAAACTAACCACTCCATTACATTGGATGATTACCGTCAACAATCTTATTTCATGCACAAGTTTCTTTTCGAAACATCCCATTTCCTTTGAATTAGAACAATTACTATTTTCGCAATCCGGGCTAACCACTGATCTCAAAAATAAATGGATAAACAAAGAATGCTTCTAATGCTGCTAATTTACGAGGTCAAAATCTAAACAAAAACAACTGACTGGGACAGCTGTGAACGTGCGCAGTAGATACATGTAGGTATTGTGTGTGCACAAAATCTGGCCAATGAAAATGAAGGAATTTCAAAATTTAGAACAGTTATTCGAAAGATGAGACACTGCGCAGGCGTTAGCGCGTTAGGCTGTTCCGTTGCACAACTGTTCGTAGAATATTGACCCCAAATTTTCGCACAAATTTTGCCAATCAAGCCGTATGAATTGTTTATCCATTTATTTTTTAGATCAGTGGGGCTAACATACACAATTATTTAAATTCTTATTAGTTCGTTACTATAGTCCGTAAATTTAATTGGACAATCCAATTCAAAATTCTTTTAATAATCCCTACTCACATTCTTCACTTTTTATGTTATATTAAATGCATTATAAATTCCCTTCATATTGTTGGTGCAAAATTAAATTAGAATGTCATTATATCTGAAGGCAATTAAAGTTATGCAATAATGTTCCATTTATAAAACACTCGAGTTATTAATATTTATGCAATAAAGTTCCACAGTTAATTATAAAGACAAAAAGTTTTCCTAGTAAAATCACTCAAGTTTATAAAGTCAAAATGTTTTTCTAGTAAAAATCACTCAAGTTTTTAGGCATTAAAAGTCATTTGTTAGTTCACTTCTTATCATTCAGAATCATTGATAAAAGTCAGAAAATTATTAAACACTAAGTATTGTCTGGCTAGCCAAACGGCGAACTCCAAAAGAATTTGCTGCTTTGCCAAACTTGACGGAAACAATAATAAACAAGTTGGTGACATTTTTTTTTTTGCTATATATGGACAGGTATAATATTTTGAAATAGAAAAAAATCCGGCAACATTGCGAAACGATGGATGTGGAGAGGCGTGATTATTCAGAAGCATGATTCTATTGGTTAGAGTCTGCTGAACGACAGCAAGCAGTGGCGTGGTTATCGGCGAAACTACAGTTTTTTTTTCTAATAATTTTATTGGTTTATTTCCTTGGTGTTTTCGGTGCCACTGAACTCAAAGACATGGCTGTCATCAGGCGGTGTCAGTTGAGGTGTCAGTGAATATTTTTAGGTCACGCCCCACTTTTCTTCCCCCTTTCGTCTCTACCAAGTTACCACTTGCCAGACTATACTTACATTTAACTTTGCACACGTAAAATTACTTAATTAATTACTCAAAATTTTTAGCTAGCACGCACATAAATGATGACGACTTTAATTGTTCTTTCTTTCAAAACTTTTCCGCTACTTTTTCAAAGACTGTTACCGAGGCAATACAAGAAACTTTCCTCGAATATTTTCTCTAGGTACTGTAGATTTTAACTCAAACTGGACAGGACTGCGAACTCATCCCTCAACTGACAACTGCCTTCCAGTTCTAAAACCGCGGTATTTATATTAAATCGATCCCCCCGCAAAGTATTATTAATTATCCCCCAGAATCGTCAATAGGCGGTCGTTTGACGATCAATCAGACAATCCCATTGGCCGACCTAAATATTATTAAAAATAATGATGCAATTTCCTTGAAATTTTTATCATTTTAAGTTTAAAAAAATCGAATAATTATGTCGCAATATACTGATTTATCGGGGTCGAATATTTTAGGTTCAAGAATGCGATAATTCATCAATTTAATTACCCTGGCCTCATTTCTAATATTTTTAAGAATTTAATATAGATGATGACATAGGCTGGGTGTCGAATTACGTTAGCGTTAATTTGTTTCATTTTTATCGATACTGATTTGGAAATACCGGAAATTCAGTTTTTGATTATTATTTAATTTTTACAGTAAAGACATTGTGATTTAGGTTCTAATTTCTGGATCATTACAGTTACCTACCAACGATTGTGAAACTGGGTCCTAATGAGCTAAATTATTTTTATTGTTCTGTTGGTGATAGTCTATCTGCGAAGATTAATTCGTCTGCCAATCCGTTAAACTATCTCACTGGAGGGTGCGCCGTGGAATCATTTTTTCTGTATCCAACTGATGTATAAAAGTTAAAATCAGTTTTTTCTAGTATAAAAAATAAGAAGGCATGAAAAATGTCAATTAAGATTTTTGGTGAGCTGTCTGACACTGCTCTTTTGTCTTTGGCTGACGCAATTGATCATTCCTTTCTGAATGGACACTTTCCAGGTTTCCTGAAAAAAGCAATTATTGTAACTCCATTATATAAGGGAGGGAAGTTTGGCACTCCTAATTTCAGACTAATATCTCTTTTGCCTACTTTCTCCATGATAATTGAGGAACTGCTTAAGGGGAGAGTCATGTCCGTTCTGTTGAGGCATAATGTGCTTAATGCTAATCAATTTGGTTTTCGGAACGATAGGTGCACAAATGATGCAATTTTTGCATTCTTGGAGCACTTGGTATATCCTTTCAAATGATGGTGCAGTGTTCTGTGACCTGACTAAAGCATTTGATGGTGTCAGTCACGGTATACTGCTGCGGAAACTTGAGTTTTAGGGCGTCAGGGTTGTGTTTCTCAGGTGGTTTGAGTCCTATCTTTCAGAGAGGAACAGCAAAGGTCTGATCTTGGTGATGTGTTGTGCGGAGTGCCTCAGGGGTCGGTTCTTAGACCAATTCTGTTCCTCTTATATGTTAATGACTTGCCTACCCTGGATATTGGTGGCAAGTTTACACTCTTTGCGGATGAGACGTCTATGGATGCGAGACCACCATTCTTTGGCACGGGACTGACTCGGAATCTCTAAATCAGCTAATTCGTACGGATTTAATAAAGATCAAGGACTGGTTTAGTAATTTGTTGACCTTTAATATTGAAAAAACAAACCTATTGACGATCTACGTTAAATAAATATCCAGTTGAGTTCATTCCCTGTTATCTGTCTGGAAAATGTATGATTTCTGGGTATTCCATGTTGATAAGGCCATAACTTCTGCAACACACATTGAAAAACCTACTGCAAAACTGTCCTCTGGCTGTTATATGCTTTAAGATCTGTAGCGAGGGAACTAGACTGCTCTTCTAGTAGGATGGTTTATTTTGCTCTCATTGAGTCCCACCTAAGATATGGGGTGGGTCCCGTTTTGGGGTAGCGGCAGTGACTATTTATTTAATTAGGTGTTGTGTTGCAGAAAATTAAGGAGCTATTCGTTTTATGTTTGGAATGAGAGGTAGAGATTCTTGTAGGCTGGTTTTTAAAAGAGAGGATATAAATGACTCTTCCATGTCATCTGTTTATTGTGGAGAGTGTATGCTTGGTCTTCAAGAAGTATAAATATACTATTACTGGAGGTCACTATATGATACTCGACAGACCCGCTGCATTCCTCTGCCGGTTCCGAGAGCGGCCCGGATGAGAAAGTCATTTATTTATAATTCTAAGAGAATGTTCAATCATCTTCCTGTTGATATAAAAAGTATTCAAAACTTTCCCAAATTTAGAAAGATAACTAGAGGACATTCCGGCAATATCACCATCAGAAATTAAATGCGTACTACAACAGATGAAAAACGGCAAGAGCCCGGGAGAAGTTAAACAAATGTCTCTGACAGAGGGAAAAATCCCGGAACCATGGAAAAGTGCCAAAGTCGTGATAATATACAAACAAAAAAGGAGATCGTTCAAATATAGAAAACTATAGACCAATAATAAGCCTGCTATCACACCTATATAAACTATTCACTAGAATTATTAACAATCAACTGCAGGCTTTAAAAGAGGCTTTAGCACTACAGACCATCTGTAAACAATTAAAGCAGTCATCGAGAAAACAACGGAATATAACATACCCCTACATCTGGCGTTTGTGGACAACCAGAAAGCCTTTGACAGCGTTGAAACTGGTCTTTTCTAGGGGCAGTGGAGGACGCAAGAATCGCTTCGAGATACTCTACCCTTATTAAGAATATCTATGATAAGGCAACCTTTCACGTGAAAATAGACGACGATCTTAGAACAGACAAAATATCACTTGGCAATAAGGAGTACGACAGGGGGATACCATCCCTCCCAAGCTATCTACCCTAGCACTGGAGAATGTTTTCAAGAAGCCGGAATGGGAAAACTAGGGCCTTAACATCGATGGAGTATACCTCAATCACCTCAGATTTGCAGATGATATAGTCTTGATGAACACCAACATTCAAGAATTCGAGAAATGAACAACATGCTAGTGAGCTAAACGAAGAATCCAAGAAAATAGGCCTAAAAATGAACCTAAACAAGATCAAAATAATGAGCAAAAATTAATGCAACACCACCATAGACAACGTTACCATAGAAAATGTAGAAGTTGACTAGGGGATTGTTTTTAAGTTATTTTTGTCTATGTAGGTATGCATGTATGTATGTCTGGATGTGCGTATGTTATATAGTATACATTTTTTATCTGTATTTTCAAGCACTCTATATCAGCTTTGTCAATGAATATCAATGGTATTTTGTACAGTAAAGCATGTTTTGATTTGATTTGATACTTTTTGCACTATTGTGGAGTATCTTCGCAGAAAGGCTTCCAATGGAAAAATTATTCCTGTGACCTGTCTCGTGTTTGCTGCAATTTCAATTCAGTGTCATACCTATTGGTCGTTCTGTTCTAATTCGTTTTGTGACTTTCTTACCTTTTACAATTTTGTCTTCCTTGATGTTTGACGTTTTTAGGATACAAATAAAGAATAAATAAAAAAAAAGAACTTTATTTTTATCAAGCAAATAAAACAACATATGTTGTGGCATTTAAGCAACAACAAAACAACCCACTGGTTCAATGTAGATTAAAAATATTTGAAACAGAAGCTTTTGTATAATGCATCCTTCCTACAAATTATTACCCATGAAAATAAGCTACATTAAGTTAAAAAAAAATTGTTCAAATTTATCACTATCAGATATGTCGTCAATAACTCAAGAAGATTCTTCATAGAGATTCAAAAACAAAAACTAAAAACTATATAAAAATATATAATATACACTGCCTGTCAATAGAGGCCATATGAGATTGCTAAAAACAGCCTATAAATTTTCAAAATCACTTATTCATTCAACTATGGCACTAGATGGGGTTTGATTTAAACCACAAGTACCATCGCCACGGTACACTCTGTAGTACCCTTGTTCACCCCAGGAAGGACCCCAAGAATTTTTCACAATCCAATAAGGAAGCGTTCTATTGAACAAAGAATAATCTGAAACAAAAATATCTAAATATCCACAATTTCATCAAAATTTTAAATTACTTACGGTGTTCACCAAATCCAACAATCAAAACCCCATGATCTAAACTGTTGGGATTGCAAAGCATCTTCCAAGGATGTGACACCCCACCCACATAAAATTGCATAGCGTTAGCATTAATTGCAATGGATATTGGGCCATTTTGCAGTAGCCATTTGGCCATGTCTGTTTCGTTGTGGCTGATATTCAAAGCTCCGGATAGTTGGACTTCGACTTTGGCAGGGTCGAAGTGGCATTTTTCGTCATCCCCTTCATAGGGATAATCAGATTCAGTTTCTAGGCCTCCCAATTTTTCAATTACTCTAAAAAAAATACCAACTTTTAGTTACTACATTATGTAATAACTGTTTATGGAAAAATATAAGACACAATGAGTAAGGATGAATTGATTTTAAATTTTAAAAAAAGTTACCTATAAGCGTTATCCATTAAACCACCATTACATCCTTCATCAACTTTATCACAATCAACCAATTCTTGTTCAGAAAATTCAAGTAATTTGCCATGAGCAATGGCGTACTGTCCTTCAACGTTGCCTGTTACACTGAAAGCCCAACAGCTGCCACACAATCCTTGGTTTTTTACTTCAGTTACAGCTCCTGAGAAATTAAAATTAAATTAGAAACTAATTTTCAACAAAAGAATCTCACCTTTTTCTCTCCAATCAAATTCCACAGGCAATTTCACGTCGGGAATTTTTGCTCGAGCAAATGGTAGGTCATTTGAATGGCGTAAATCGGGCCTCAACCCATGGCTATTTGAAAATTCTTTTTCTGACATATCCGCGAAGCTGGTAATGCCATATCTTCCAGTGCCTTTTTCATATTTGTTCAACAAGGCGATTTTGTTCAGATTATCTCTAAATACCTAAAAGAAATCAATACTGATATAAACAAATTCTAACTAAAAAAAAAAAACATTTCCTACTTTTGAACGATAATTATATTCAGCTTCATCTTTATAGGCTTTTTTATATTTAATAGCAAACTCCGTAAACATTGCACCCAAAGCTTCATCCTCAGATTTTTTAATAGGGTCATAAACATAGGATTCCTTATCATTCTCACAAGTAATATTGACTTTCATATGCTCCAATAAGCTGTAGCTATTTATCCTAGCCACAAATTGGCATTTGAAATGTTCAAAATGAGCTGGACATAATGGCAAAGTGAGATGTATTGAAGGCGCTAGCTTGAATTGTTGACAAAGAGCTACTTGAGCTTCGATTTTCCAAAATTCAGACTCAAACTCTTGTAAATGATGTGTGTTAGTTAATTTCATCAGTGTGAGAATTTTGCCTGGCTGAGTGCTAGTTGAAAGATACTCTAAAGCTTTAGATACAATTATTGTTGCTTTAGATTCATTTAGTTTGTGACTGTTTTCTGATTCTGGAATAAAAAAATCTTGAAATCACAATAAAATGTTTTTTAACTAATTGAAGTTCCCACCATAACTTTCTGGTCGTTCCCAGCCACCAATTTCCCTTTTGGATCTAAACACCTCCTTTGGCCTATCTTCACACTTTACACTAGTCTCTGTGAAATTCATCCAAGGTTTTTCCCATATTTCAAATTTACACAAAATGCTAGGACTGCCCTCTAATTTTACACAGTCTTTCATATCTGATGTTTTAGGGCAATTTGAAACTGTGACTTGAGCTTTTATTTTTACTAAAGAACCCGCTACAACTTGAGTTGTAGCTTTAAGGACTTTCTCGGAAATGTATTTGTTGCTCTCGGCTGAAGTCGAATCTAAGTGAATGAGACATTTTCGCAAGTAGTCTTGAATTTCGGATTCAGGAAGACTATTTTCACCTAAAAAAAAATTGAAAATTATGCTGAATTCACTTTAAATAATAAAAATTACCTCCTGGTATCCCTCTTTTCTTCCTAGAATGATCCTTGTCTTCTTCTTCATCACCAAAAGAATATGTTTTGGTTTCAGTACTTTTTTCATCAGCACACTTTACTTTATAAATAGTCTTATTCAACCATGGCCTGTCCCAAACATCTATGGTACAAATTTCAGGTGGTAAATCAGCCAAAAGCTCACAAGATCCTTGTTGATTTTCTTTAGTTTCACCACAGTTTGTTACGCCTATTTTTGCTTTTATAATGTATCTCACACCTGCTACAACTTGAGAAGTTGCAGAGAGCACCTAAAATAAAGATTCATCAAATATTTATTCAAAAAATATCTATGGGCTTTTACTTCAACAGTTGTGTGCTTATTGGGGGTTCCAGATACGGAATCCAAATGCTTCAAAGTAGCCCCAAGAAATTTCTCTACGTCAGGATCATTTGCAGCTATGGGTGAATGACCACCTACAAGTAGGGCTCTCTTATATCTGCTATAATTAGTCCTGTTCCTATCATCAGCATCCTTTTTAATATTTTGACACTGAGATTTAACAACTTTTGGATTTGAAAAATCGTCTTCTACAAACACTTGAACTTTACAAATTTTTGTTTGGTTGGTAAATAGTTTCTCTCTGCAATTTTCATGGTATTCGTTTTCATGACAATGACTTATTCCTAAGCGAAGGATGATTTGATAATAAGTACCATCAAGTTTGAGCTTTTTGGCTCCTAATATTTGTAAAATGACTCTTTTGTGATGGTCGTCGTCTATGTTGTCTAATGTCGCGGCTGCAAAGTCAGCCAAGTCTCGCACAATAACCTAGTATTAATGTAAAATAAATATTTTATGTAAACCTACAATTCTCAATACCTTTTCATCTGGAGATATTTTCTCTAATTGTCCGATCGATCGTTTTCTTTTCAAGGCTTCTGGGGTTGCTCTTGCTGGCCTAGCTGTTGAGTCACCATTTTCTTCTTCATTAATTTCATTATTACTGTCATCCTTAGTTTTATTTAGTTTTGATGCAGATATATCCTTGTTACACTTTGGTAAGGTGATTTTACTATTATCATCGTTATCTTCTCTGCTGTTTGCATTCTCACTACACTTTTTCTTTGTTTTTTCATGATCATTATCATTATCATCTTCAGTACTTTCATGCTTCTTTCCCTTCGTGGGGCAATCTTCATTTGAACCTGATTCTGCTCTTGAATGTTTTTTGTGTTTTTTTTCTGATGAGCCAGAATCTTCATTCGACTCAGATGACGATGATGAATCTTTCTTTTTACTAAGTCTTCTGGTGCTCTCTTCTGAATCATCACTTTGTCTATGTTTCCTGTGGTGTTCTTTCGATTCAGAATCGTCATCATCGCTCGAATCAGATTCGGAACTCTTTGAGTGTTTCCTTCTTTTTTCCCCTGATTCCTCACTTGAATCAAAAGATGATTTTGATCTTTTAACTCTTTTACTTTCTCCTGATGTGGAAATATCATCATTTTCTTTTGAACCTGACATATTATCATCATTTCCCTTAATTTTGTCTGACTGACTATTCGAATCAATATTTCTTTTCTTTCTGATACTTTCCGTATTCACTTCAACATCTTCTATTGTAGTAAGCTCCAAATCTGGTTTGACACTAGAGGATTTTTCTTTATTTGTTTTTTCAGCAGTTGGAATATTTTTTGCTCCAGCTACTTTTTCTTCAGACGATTTTGAATCCGATTCACTAGATTCACTGTGCAATTCTCTAACAAAACGTGGTGGCCAAAAACTATTATAACCACCAAATGAACCCATAGTTGTTTTAATATCTGGGAAATAATTATCGGCATTTTGTGATGTGTACATCACTACGATTGGTTTGATTTGTTCTACAGCAGGCATCGAAGCATATAAGGTTGTTAGTTGTGACGGTTGTTCGCTATTTAAAGGTTCTACGCTTAAATGGTCAAAATTCTCAGTTACTATGTTAGGTTCTTTTTGGACAATCTGAGGTGAAGCCAAATTTGCATCACTTTTAATTTTTGTTGGAGCCTCTTCAAGCATACCACCGAATAAAATTTGAGACTCTATGTCAGCCAAACGGCCAGCATCTATAATAGGTTCATCTATATTTCCATTTTGAGCCATGGCGTCATAATTTGGTGTGTTTGGTTTTGGTTGAACGTCTGGAGTAGCTATATCTAGATCTTTATGAGGCAAAATATCATTACTCAGGTCATCTCTATCAGGCCTCGAATGGCTCACAGGCTCAAACTCTTGAGACAGTGTACAGTTATTTTTGATTATATGTTTGCCTTTATCTATCCAAGGTTTTTGAATGAATATAACTTCACAAGTTAAAGGTTCAGCAGAGCTATCCAGAACACATGGAGCGGAAATATCAGCATCTTTAGAGCATGTTGTTGCTGCTACGTCAGCAAGAAGAATGTATTTTACTCCTGCAACGACTTGCTGCTGCAATCGTCTAATGTTGGTAATCTTATGGCGTTGGTTTCTTTCACTTTCAATATGCCTGATAGTAGTGTCGATTAGCTCATCTACACCTTCAGCATCAGTATGTAAATCAAATGGGCAGCCTAAGCAAGGAATGTTGTCTTTTCTTATAGCTACAAAGTCAGCATTTCCTTGGCCTGGTGGTAGGGCTTCATTGCTTAAGTCAAGCTACAAAAAACATTATTAGGCCAAAATAATTTTTATGTGATCACATTTTCTACCTTTTCATTGCCATTTGGCATGGCAGACACGAAAGGTATTGTCTTGGAATCGCTAAAATCTTCAACAGTTATTTCAATTTTCGGACTACATTTTACGTCGCTAAGTACTTCATATATTCCAGCTGTATTGCGACCCACGAAAGCATGACAATTAAGAGTGTGTTCATTGCAGGAGACATCTGGATATCGATTGTTACAGTCTACTTCAACTTCAATGGAGACTTCTAGGATGTCACCCTGAAAATAATATAATTAAACCCGACTTAACAAGCAGGATTTGGTCCAAACTGGTACCTCTCGATACCACTGAATATAAAAATTGGATATTTACTTCAGGATGATATTATGCATTATTGACTTGTGTGAATTTATGTATTAATCTAATTTGATTTAAAATAGGTTTTTCTTTTTTTGATGGGCTTAATTGGTTCTTCCTACACCGTCCTAATTTTGAAATTTAAAAAAGTCTAACAATTTTTTAAGTAATTCCGTGAACTGATTTAGCAAATTAACATGTCTTGTAACAGTTTCCTGTTCCTATCATTTTGCCTAATGTCTATGATGTTAAAATTAGATTCTATTTAATGTGCTCACTTGTGTTAAATAGAGGAAGTGTAGCTCTGGTAGAAAAGAAGATTTGAGTGTCAGTAATTTTGCATACTTTCAACTTTTTTCAAATGGAATGCCCTATATTTGATTCTATATTCTTGAAAAGCCCAATTTTTCGATTTCAAAAATATATAGGTAGTTTCTCTATATTTGATGGGTGAACCCATTGGTTAAGCCATCTCGGACATATTTGGCTCTAAGAATTGTAAAAATACTATCCTACTGACTTTTTGGGGACCATTCTACCTGTCAAGATAAAAGCTGCAGATAAAACTTAAGGCACTTGGTTTTTTAGCTAGAATTTCTAGAATTTTTAGAGCCAAAATATGTTGGAGACAGCTCAACCAAATATAGAGAAACTATATATTTTTGGAATCGGATAATTGTGCAAGTGTGCAAGAATATAGAATCAAATATGTAATCATGTAAGTTGTCCAATAGCAGGCGATAAAACTGATGAAGCTATTGCTGCGTTTGAAAATCTGTTTTTCTTGTAGTGTATCATATGGCGTTAGGCGTTTCATGATTAAACAACTAACTCTGTGGCTTAGAAAGTTTCTTCTAGGTAGTTTTGCGGTTTTTTCTTTTTTGAGTTCCTTGGAGTGTCCACGAAGATAGTTTTGGTTTTGTACAAAGATTGCTCTGATATTGCAATAATTATAGTAGTTAATGGTTATTTAGTATGTTTCGATTAAGTCTCCTCTATGTCTTCTCTCCATTAAAGTTGTTAGTTTTAGACTTGTCAATTTCTCTGTGTATGGAAGGTCTCGTAGTTCTGGTGGTATTTTTGTAACTCATCTCTGTATCTTCTCTAGAACTTCTAGATTTTTGACATAGCAGGAATTCTACACTGAGAAAACGTATTCAAGTTTTGCTCATATGTAGCCTTCATACAGTTTGTCTATCATTTCTATCGAGTGGTCTTTAAATGCTTGTTCAATGAAGTATACAAAAAAATTGGCTGTTTTGGTAATCTTCAAAATGTGGTTCTCCTATTTCAGGTATGAAGTTTTTAAATCCTAGGTCATTTTGATTTGTCACACAACTCAGTGTTTTCGTATTTTTTGTTTGGATTGTTTGGACCGATACTTAGAAATGTACATTTGGACAACTTTATTCTTTATTGTGTAAACCATTCTTCAATAGTTTTTAGGTCAGCCCTTAGCTGCCCTACATGTACTACCAGATTTGTATAAAGCTTTAATCCATCATCTGCGAAGTTTTTTATTTTAGATTCAATGAGACTGACAAGATAAAAAAAAATGTTGTGCAAAGGGTCAATGACCAAACCTTGGATAACTCCGGTACTAGCAACTAACTTGATAAAATTTCTCATGCAGTAGGTCCGTCAATGGTAGGTCCTCTGTTACTTCAATGAGTTGACCTCTCACTCCAAAGTATTTCAACTTTCCTAGAAGAAGATTATGTGGGTCTTTGTCGAATGCCTTCTCATAATTGCGATAGATCACATCTGTGGGTTGAGAATTACCATGGTTGTCGGTTGTCTGTCCAGTGCTTTTTTGACTTTTTCTTCATTGAAAGATATAGATTCAAGATTCCAAAGACGTATCCCTTGTATGTATCGGTAAAACAGGGAAAGTAAGTTTCTGCTCTGTGAAGGCTTGGTCAAACTGCTCCACAAACTTTTCAGCCATGGAATTGCTGTTTAGAACATCATTTGTTATGAGGTCTTTCAGAGTAATTGTCGTTACTTTCGTGTTCAGGTTCCTGCTTATACAGGGTGTCCTTAGATAAACTGACACATTTTGCAGGTAAATATTTCGAAAACGGGAAAAGATAACGAGATGCGGTTTGTTCTGGGAGAATAAGGATTTTTTAAAGTTTTTTTTCACATTATTGCCGAATCCTAAAATTTGTTGAAATTTGGTTTTACAGACGTGCGATTTTTTTAAATAAAATGACTGCCTTATTTTTAATGAAACACCCTGTATATTTTGTTATCCTCAGAAAGCCTGATTTCTCTACTTTACAAAAATGTATAATTTTTTTCAATTATCTTGAACTTGCATCGTGAAAATTGGACTTTGTCGAAGAGAATACCATCAACTAACCAAAAAAAATTGAGAATTAATTTGTGTTTAATACTTTTATTAACTAATTAGAGTGCAATTTTTACGATTCAATTTCACGATACTTGAAAAAAATTATACATTTTTGTGAAGTAGAAAAGTCACGCTTTCTGACGATGACAAAATATACCGGGTGATTCATCAAGAATAAGGCAGTATGCAATTATTTCAAAAAATCGAATGTCTGTAAAACCAAATTTCAGGATTCTTCAATAGCATGAAAAAAAACTTTAAAGAATCCTTATTCTTCCAGAATAAACCGCATTCCGTTATCTTTTCTCATTTCCGAGATATACACCTGTAAAATGTATCAGTTTATCTAAGGACACCCTGTATAATAAATTATATTAAATATAGGGCATTTCATGTGAAAGTACGCAAAGTTTGTTTCTGACGATGGATTCTTAAAATTTAGCTGAAAGTGCACAACTTTTGTATTTACACCTATCATCTTCGTGTAAAGGTAGAGGCTACAGGTGGGGTATCAAATTATAACCAGACACCCTGTACCTAGCAGACTGATTTATTTTACGTCAAAATAAAATAAAATTAGAAATAAAAAAAATACCTTCCCAACTCTGCTTATATGTTAATTTAAAAAATAAATCATATTCTTGTAGAGTAGGTACTCAACACATAGAATAACCCTGCAGAAACTTCGAGCAAAACTTGAAGAAGAAATTTACATCAAAAGATTCAAGCTGTGAAAACCATTAGATTTAGAACAATGAACAAAACAACGTCAAATTGGGAACCTCTCTAAGAGGACAAAGAATTGATTATTTGTGAAAAATTAAACTCTCAGTAAAAACCGCCGCATAGTGTATCAGCACAAAACTTATTAGTTTCATTCGAGGTATCAATAGCTCTGCTCCAACCAGCATGAGAACATTGAAAACCGTTGTAGAACGGTAATTTCCAGTTGACCAATTCATTTGTCGAGTAAAATAAACGTTCGACTTATTGAAAAATAGGTGAGCAACTGGAACTTACTGGTTCTGGAATGTCGGTTGGAACAGACCTATTATAGATATTAATTCATCGAAAAAGTTTGAACTTCACACAAGGTTTGCTCCTCGGTTTGCTCTTTAAAATTTCCAAAAGCAATTACGTCTAATTTTTCATGCTGGCAGAGAAATGAGAGATAAATTCTGAAAATAATGGAAAACGGTTACTCATCCCTGAACATCACTTTCTGTCGTACTTCAATAAGTCCAATAGCTGTATTCCTTTCAAGAGTTTAAAACACTTCAGCTACTCGCCCCCGATTTTAAAGGAATAGATGCGTGGTGCAACAAACACTTTTCGAAAGGAATAAGGGCGTTACGCCCCGAAGCCGTTCCGGAGCTCCTCCTAGGGGTGAAAGGAATACAAATTCAATTACACAGAGATCAACTGGGATAAACTTACAGTCTACCCTCACAATCAATGCTCAGAAGATTACTTTAACAGCTATCAAATCACTAACGCGCATCAGGTAATACGGTTTCTTACAAGATACAGAAATAATGAAATTTCATTACTAGATCTATTGCTGGTCTGGTTAATGACAAAAACTCAATATTCAGTATACCAATAGGGCGTAGTGATCATGTAGTGATAACAGCTAAAACACAGATTCAACTGGCTTCTAAGCCAACTAAAAAGATCTATAAAAGAAATTTCTGGAAAGCAAATTATGATGAAATTAACAAGTACATAACTGAACAGTTAGATGCCTGCACATGCCAAATTGATGATGCAACACAGCTAATAAGTTTAGTGAAGAAAACTATTGAACCCTTAAAACCTAAGCATGTCAATTCAAAGAAACCTTGGCTTAACTGAGGAGTTTTTAGGCAAATCAACATCAAACGAAAACTTTGGGATAAGTATAAAAGGACCAAAACGAACACAGATTATGATCATTACTCCTCTTAAGAAATTTTACTCCTATATAAAACATTCCCTGAACTCCCGTCTCCAAAATTTTGCGCTCAGAAATACTAACACGAATCAGACTACTTACGATGAGACTGACATTGCCAATTGCTTTGCAGACCAGTTCCAGAGAGTCTTCACTCAAGAAGATAACAACCTACCAACTCTTTCACCTGAACTACGCATCGCTGCAGAGATAAGTAATATAGAATTCACCCCAGAAAAAGTACAAATGGCCATTTCTTATCTAAAGGCGGAGTCTAGTCCTGGTCCTGATGAAATTCCATCCCTCTTTGTGAAAAACTGCTCCAAATCACTCTCCAGTCCTATAGCCACTATTCTAAACTCTATAATGAAAGGAGCTTACATTCCAGAAATATGGAATTCATCAATAGTTGTACCAATCTTTAAAAAGAGGGACAAACTGGAACCATCAAATTACAGACCAATAACTCTCACCAGCGTACTCTGCAAATGCCTGGAGAAAATCCTAGTGAATGAGCTAACATCTTTTTTACTAGAACAGCAAGTAATACCTGATTCTCAGCATGGGTTCTTACCAGGAAGATCAACATTCACTAACCTGCTGGAAAGATTCAACAAATGGACTCAAATGGA